TGAGCTCGGTCGACTGGCTTCTGCTTAAGCCTAACTTTCCGCTCTCCAAAATCAATCAAATTTTGATCAAATGCAGCTTTGTCCGAAGGGGATAAAGTACAAACAGAGTCTGCCAGATACACATGTCCAACCACTGTTCCTGTCCGGATAGATGCTTGCTTAGTGGACTCATTCTTGATCAAGACCCGGAAACTGTCACAGTCCACTACTTGCCCTGGAATGACCATTGGCTGAAGAAATACCCCGCCAGGTAATGGAGACTCAATGGAAGAATCCACCATCAGTATTTCTTTATCAACATTTTGTTTCAGCTCAAGTTTGCACAGTTGTTTTAGCCTGGCTCTTTCCATGTCGGTGGCAGAAATACCTCCTTGCTGCACCACTTTGGAGTGGGCAGCACACCAGAAAAGAGACGAAGACGGCAATAGCTACCCATGTCAAATGACGGCTTTGCTGTCTTTTCCTACAAGTTACCTACTATGTGCAGAATGTCAGTAGCGCTGGTAGATGGTTCAGAATTTGGAAAGTAATCACGAAGATCTTCCACTGTCTTACCTTTTGCCTGCAACAACCTTAACAGTTTGTTACTAAACTCATCATCAGTGGCAGGGGCTTCACCAATTATAACAACAGGCCAATCCTCTCTGCCACTGATGGGCAGTATCTCCTGAGGAATGTTCTTCCTCGTACACGAACACAGCCAAGACATTTCACTGTATGCAATGTATCCTCAATCTGAGCGATTTCAACATCCTCAGGTACCATAACCATAAGCGAGTGAGCCTCATCTAGACCCTCGCCATGGCACCATCCTTTAAGCTCAGCTACTAGCTCAGATCTGTCTGCCATTCTACCCTTGCTATGGACACATACCACTAAAACGACTAATCAGAAACCCTCATCCCAGCGGTGCCTCCATTTTATGTAGCGCCCCCATTAGTACGGTTATGGGAGAAAGCTAACCTGAGTTCTTTCATGATCTAATATACACTCAAATGTCCGTTATTCTAATAAGGGCAAAAGATTAATCGGGTTGCTGGTGTTCTTAAATAAACGTGCAGTAGTAAAGGGAAATAAAATAACAGAATAAGCAACAACAATTAATGCAAATAGATAAACACTTTACTGAATATAAAATAGAATAGTAAACACAAAGGTATTAATTGGAAAATAATCAAAAGACAATTGACAGTTTAACTTTTTTCTGATCCTAAATAAACTAACAGCCGGCAGAAACCAAATTAAATACAGTTCTCGTTGCAGGCCTGGATCGACGCTTGGGTTTGTAGTAGCCTAAACTTGTGGCTACTTCACTCCTAGGAGCAAAATAAAATAAATAAATAAAAGGAATGAGCTCACCACGCACGTATTATGCAATAGCACCATCAACGTAGATCGTGCAGTACTCTATCCAGACGTATGGCCCAGACTGTACTTCCAGCCTGTTTAGTCAACAAACGTGTACAGTCTCTCGTCCTGCGGAGCACTTGCGCTAGCGGCTGGGGGCCAGCGTTAGACTCTGTAGGGTATCAGACCGAATCAGACAATCTCAGATTTGGTCAAAACATTAGTTTATATGTCTTAGATTTATCCAATAAAGCCTTATTTATATTGAAAAGAGAAGTATCTTGTGTTTTGTGCTCACAAGTTAGTGTCTTAAACTGCCGATCTTGTTACTGTGCTATTTAATAGTGTTTTCACTATATTTTGGATATAAATATCCATTGCAGAATTGATGTCATACGGCTCGTTCAATGAATCGCTGGCCGACTCAGTGATCAGCCGTAAAACAGTGATTCTGTCCAAATTCCCTTTAAAATCTTAAATGATTCCCTTTGAGCTAAATTGACCTGTTTCCCTTACAACTCCAAAGTCCAAACTGTCCGTAAATCAACCAAATTGAGCCTTTAGTCAAAGCACTAGTCAGCATTGAGATATAATCCTATAGCTCGTAAGGATTATTCACCCTAATCTATCAGATGTCACCCCAGAAATATGTTATTCACATATTACTGTCTCTATTCCTCGCACTCTCTGCCCACTGCCTATTTTTCCCCACACCAACGTCATCTCTTTCTTCTTCGGCACCTCCACAATACACCCGGTGAGACTATATAACTTTCACTTTATAAAATAAAGCAAACATTTTACATGTCAAGTGACAATAACAGTGAAAAATGTACAATGTGAAAATAAACTAATTTAACAAATCACTGACTCATGTCTCATTTATTATTTTACCCCAAGTCCACTGGGTTACACCTGTATTTAACCAAATAGCCACCTTTACACAGTAAAAATGGTGTAGCACTGTGTTCATTGACAGACAAATTGAAAAATGTGACACAGTCATGAAATAATAATAATAAACATTGTTCTGTTGTTCATTCCCAGATAGGAAAAGCTAGCTTAGGAATGCAATGTTAGTATTCCAAATCCTGTTCATGGCAAACATTAATATAGATAAATTATATTATATTTATTATACAGTATATGTATATGCATACACGTATGGCAGACAGATAAGGCTCAGTTAATTGAAGAAGTATGTTTGAGGAATTCTTTATATAAAATGGATTTTTTAAACACCGTTTTATGAAGCCAGTCATGCCTGTGTGTTACAGCGATTATACCACATTAAGAAGATTATTCGCATTACCCATGATAAAATCACTGTAACGCATGACCTGGCTCAGTGGCTCTTTGCTTCTGAACACGGTCCAGTCCTGAAACATTCTGGCAGTGATTGGGAATGCAGTAGTGTGCAGGTGTTCCTTTTTACACAGATTGAATGGGACTTCTGGGGTCAAACATAGACTTCTCTCACCTCTTTTACACCAAAACAAGCACGCACGCATACACACACAAATAATATTTGACTCAGAACACATCCTCTGTATTCTGAGCCATGACCTTGTCCTGGTAACTAGTGTGTAAAAATGTGACGCAGATGCTTGACTTGCTCAGGGACATCTGATTGAGCTGTAATAAGGGTCTACAGCCCACCCACTAAACCCAAATTGGAAAAAGGGTATGTGGAAAGATGAAGAAAGTAAACTGGAAAACATTTTGATTAGATCAAGTTTCAGCAGCGTTGTGGGCTGACTGCAAGCGGACACTTTCAAAATAAACTATGAGGCCAGGGAAAAGAAAAGAAAAATGTTCTAGCTTACGATAGGCTAAAGTAATGGGAGAAGAATTTCACAAATAAATATGACATTGTTGATACTTTATGATAGACATTGACATTTTATTTATTTGTGTCATTAATTTGTTTGTTGTCATGTATGATCCACAAACAGAACAAAAAAAGTCATTTTTTACCGTGTGGAATCACAAAGATAAATAAAAACAAACTTTTCCTTGCCTTTAGGTATTATACATATTTCAACTAATGTCACACGGGTTAAAAATCATGTGTTTTCCATTCATTTAAACAAAACTGTGCACGTGTTCAGATTGTGTTCTCTTGGGGTGTAGTGTCCTAAATATTTACCTAACTAGATAAAACACACTCCTAATCATTTTAATATGCGTCTCCTTCCACTGCATGTGCATGCGTATGTGTACGGGACAAAAGAACTGCATTTTTAGCTCTGTTCGTGTGATGTCCACTGTAGGTTGTGGTTTCATTTCAGGCATACCAGGGTTTATTTCAGTGTATCACAGGGATATGATTGACAATCGCCCCTTTGACTACACAAAACAACAAGCATATGAAGCTCATTACTACAATGAAGTCAAAGAGCAGAAACAGAGCAGCAATTTGAGCTAGAATCTAAACGAATGAAGCACAGACTTGTGGTGCGGTGGGTGTCCCCTAGTTTTATGGTTCAAAAAACATAAAATCCAAATTCTGTTAACAATTTCAACAAGCATGTTTACACGCACATCATTTTTCCGATTAAACTCTGTGGTCTGGTTAAGCCTTTAATCCGGAAAAAAGTAAACGTAATAGAATCCGTCTCCTTTTTGCTCTAAAAATGATCTGGCTAGCTTGATTTTTCACAACTGCACATACCTCGAGTTGTAGCGCTCATAATTACTTTCATTTGGACATGTGCAGATCACGACACAAAATTCTAATTCTCATAAGCTTATTCCAGCTGTCTTAGTATACTAGAAACCAGAACGTTGGCCTAATCCGGTTATAGCAATCGGGTTAATACACATCAGACGGAAGTCTGATATTAACCGTGTAAACGCTATCATTGAGGTTGCCTGTCAAATGAACGTCCATAGACCCGAAGGGCCTCACTTTGATCGATCGTGTGCATATGTGTGCTCTCCGCAGGGAACGGGACAGTATATTCATCTATACTCACGATGGCGAATGATCCCTTTCCCCTTTTATGTGGCTACTATACTAAGAGAGTCTGCTCACTGGCACAGATTTCCTTAAAATAGCAGCATTCACACTGGGCCTGGTGTTGTAGAAAGGAAGACATTTAGTGGAATTGGAAGGAATCCATGATATTAAACAGTAGATGGGATTGTGAAGCAGCAGGAGTAATCATGCAGGGCAGCAGGCCGCAGGAATGCAAATCATCCACGCCGCTAGAAGTTAAGTTAGCAGGTGGCCTCCGCTATTCATTGGACGTCAACACTCTTTTTAGATCGGGACCACATAACATCTGGGTGCCCTGAACACTGGTTTCAATTAAGTCAAATATAATCACTCAGTTTTCTGGCATTCAACAAAAATGTTCTTCTTAAAAAAAATAAGACAGATTTTTGATAAAATCTATATCATGTGATCAGATGAGGTCAACATAGATTTATTTGCATGCAAATATTTGCCAGCTTAACAAAAAGTAAAAAATGGAGTAATAGAGTTTTCTAGCAAATTTACGCAAAACCTGCAACAAACATGATGTTGAGGCAACTGGTAGAGACAGACACAGAAAATATATTTGAAAATATATTTAATGACATACAAACACTGTTCTAAAATAATAAATGCAATATTTTCAACAAAAAAAAAAAATATATATATATAGTACTCAGAGTACTAATACAAGTGTATATAGGGAAGAAGAATATTTGCTTGAAGCAGAAAAAAATCAAACTTAATTTTGCATATCCACCCACTGATATCTAAAGCAAACTAATATGGAACAGTAATTGTGGGCTGCAATACCTTGGGCTATTTCAGGAAATATGTATAGTCCTAGGACTCAGTGCTTTTACAACAACACCACAATAATTTCAGTAACAAAGAAAAACATTTGTTTGCAAAATCCAATATGGCTGTTTTTCCCCACATAAAAAAAAAGTATTTAGGTGACTTAGAGTTTAAGGCATTTACACTTATTTTGTAAAATAGCAGCAGTTCTGTTTTGGAGTGGTTGTTTATGAATTTGACGTAATCTAAAGACAGGAAATTATACTTGATCCTGTAAAACTCTCTCTAACTTATTCAGATATTTTCAGAGAAAGAGCAATCAGCTATGGATCAGTGGTAAAGAGTGGTAACTCATCTACATCTCTCATATAAAAAATTGTTATTAAAAAACAAAGCCAAATAAATAAGAGGAATTATGAGCTAATATATACATAATACTGTACATCAAATGTCAAAAACTATTTCTTTTGATATGTTATTCCAGCAATATGACACAGAAGCTCATCTGTCCTCAATGACATCCACAGGACCTCACCACCATATTCCTGTACTTCTTCAGAATTACATTTGAGCTGTCATCAAAATACAGCACTGATATGGCATTCAGTTTGGTCGGTGCACAGCAAGGCTTTGGCACATTATCAGGAAACATCAGATGGACCTATGACGAGAAAAAAAAAAGAGAAATGTATGATATGTGGGAGTGGACTTTAAATGGAGACATAGTAACAAAAAATGGTTTATCAAACAAAAATATCTTTCAAACTAAACAATGAAATGTATTAATTTTACTATGAAATACATGAACTAGGACCAAAAGTTGATGTACATAAATACAGTACATACATATCTGCTATGATATATCTGATATATATATATATCATACAAAACTGCTGTCCATTTTAGGTCTCATTTTTGGAGCTGCTTCTATACTTTTTTTTTACAAATACTCTATGATGAAGCAAAGGAGGCTTACCAAGGTCTGCACAATCGCATGGTTTGTCGCATTCATATGTGCATTGAGTGGAAATGAACATTCTCCATCACAATAAAAGGCTGCATAGCCCTCTGGAGCAATAATCCAATCCTAAAATGACAGAGAGACAGAGATGAATTCTCTGGTTGAGTGAAGCAATCACGCTGTGCAGTCTTGTAATTGATTGATGTCTTGCATGCGTTTACCTGCCATCCTAAGTCACGGAAGCTCACGTAAAGTTCATGCTTCTTGCAGGCTTGTCTCTGTTCACTAGTGTTCTGATCTAGATAACAGCAACAAAACAGACGTTGAGCCTTCAAACACTGAGGTAGTCGTGTTGTTTAGTCTAGGAGTGTGTGTGGGCTCAGTGTGCTCTATGTTTGCAGCTGGCAGGACGTCTTTGTATACAGACTCTGAATGCAGTAAATACTCAGTAATTTGATGGCAGCAAAGAGGCCTACATTCAGAAAACATTAGGTAAGCTCAGCAGGTATTCCTCAAGTGAGTCATCGAGAACTGTGGATTAAAAACACTGCTACTTAGTAATTGCAAATCAACGATGTTGTAAGTGATTTATTGCACAGACTGTTTGCACAGACAGCTGAACTGGATGATGACATCACTGAATCATCAATGAACTGACTTTAGCTGGAAAAATTCAGTATTATTGACAAACTTATTTTCTGTTTGACACGTTAAAGCTGTTTTGACGCAATCAGTATTGTATAAAGCGCTATACAAATGATGGTACAGAAAGTATCCCTCTAATATGACAGGTTTCACTGAAAAAGAAGCCTAGGAAATCACACATTTCTGTGGTGGCCCTAGCTGCTGTAAAAGCCAAAAAAGGGACAGTGGGACATTGAGCTTCTTTAAAACAT